CGCAACACAATGTGAACTATTCCACTCAACGACTTTTTCCTTTTTTCACACTTTTATTAAATTCACTGCGAGTATCTGGTTGTCCTTCTTACTCTGCTGGTTGCGTCCGACTAAGAGACCTCAATTATTACAGACTTCACATTCTGCTAATTTGGTGTATTCGCACTGCGCCTGCGTCACACGCTACAAATTACATTATCTAGAAGTGTCTTGTTATTGTATTGCCAAATTCAATTCGAAACGCATATACTTTGGTAAAACTCATACGTTATAGTAGGATTATTTTTAACATATAAATGAATGGATCATTGATGTTTATTTTGATTAGTTCTAACAGCCAATATATATCTCAAAATTTAAAAATTTAAGGGCTATAAAGTTCAAGTAACTATAAAAATCATTAAAGCTAAAGAAATCGCAAAAGCTTAACAAATAAAATAATTTGAATTATGAATTTAACTTATATATTAATAGACATTTTGGTTTCGATTTGATTAAGATAAACAATAAAGAAAGGGTTTTAATTTGAAAAGGTTTACAAAACGTTCGTTATTTATTTCGTTTATTTATATTGTTGAATTGAGAAACTTGAGGTGTTTCCCGACGCATTTTGAGATCTTTAATATAACATCGAAAATAACGCCTGCCGTAAAAGCCGCAAATTAAATAAAGAAATTTTTACCAATATAAAGTATTTACAAGAAAGGAAGCTAAGTTCGGCATTTTCCTGTACATTTAACGATCGTTTCTATTTGGACGTTGATGCACTAAGGTCAGTACATTCAAAAGGCCCGTATGACACCAGGCACGTGCCTGTTTGGGTTAGGTGTTAGTAGGCGCGATGGAAAATATAGGACAGAATACGAGGAAAATTTACTACCGGCGTGCTGCCAGATTGTTAGCAACAAGTCAGCACTTTCCACATCACCATGTATAAGGTTAAAAATAAAGGTTATCCCTAGCATCGTTCTACGATTGGCTAAGGACGGCAAGTTTATTAATAGGAGTCTACTACAGTAGGAAGGTTATCTTTGGTTTGCATCCCAATTTAAACCGCATAGAGCGAAAAGTAAAAAGTTCTTTTGAACCGACTCAATGCGTTTACTATGGACGTCGTACTGAGGGCTCCAAACGCAGCATCCATATTCTAAGATAGGACGAACTAAAGAAGTATATAAGGATTTATAGGGGTCATTGAATTCCTTCGACCACCGTTTAATAAATCCAAGCACACCCCTGGCTCTATTCACCATAGACGAAATATGATCAATAAAGTCAAGTTTTGAGTCCAAGCGGACGCCAAATCATCAACAGAATTAAGTCTTTCCAAAGAGCAGCAGTTCAGCGTGTAAGTAGCAAGCTTAGGAACGACACGAGAGAATGTCATTAGCTTGCATTGCGAGCCATTTAAGTTTAAAAAGTTTACACGGCACCAAGTTTGAAAATTATTGTGATCTGTTTGTAAATCGGACTGGCAGGCAACGTCATTGTATTGCACTCCAAGCTCTGCAGTTGGTCAAGACTTTGGGCAGGTCATTTATAAATAATGTAAACAATAAGGGTCCCAAATGGCTTCCTTGCGGGACGCCAGATGTAACCCTTAGAACATTAGATAAATTATTCTTAAAGAGGACCTTTTGCGTCCTGCCATTCAGATAACTTGAGATCCAATTAAGAAGATCACTTGGAAAGTCCATTAAATCGAGTTTTCTAACGAGGAGAGAATGGTTAACAGAGTCAAATGCTTTACTGAAATCAGTATAGATTACATCTGTCTGACAATTAGTATGGAAGCCCTTTATAATATAGGAAGAGAGCTCCAAAAGATTCGTTTTTGTTGATCTTCGCTTAATAAAACCATGTTGACATGGAGAAATAACTGAACTACAATATAATGGCCAACAACTTAGAGATTCCTCTATAATTGCTGGCATCCAATTTACTACCTTTTTTGTGGAGAGGAATAATACACGATTCCTTCCAAATAATGGGAAAGTGGGGGGTTTCTAAGGACGAGGTAAACAATTTCAGAAGGGGATAGGGCGTCGGCATAATACCTGAGCACACAGCCAGGAATTCCGTCGGGACCTGGCGAATAAACTTGACCCGATGAAGATCTAAAAGGAGAGAGCTTTCGTTTAGGCTAGGACAGAAAATTAAGTTTGATTTGGGTATGTCGTAGGAATAGGTCTGGTGTAGATTCGAAGAGCTAGAATAGGTTGTTTGAAAAAACTGCGAAAATAGATCGGCTATTGCCTGATCATTATTTGCATTAGTATTTTCAAATGAAAGCGAGGAAGGGTCTGTTTTACGCTTACGTTTAGTGTTAACGAAATTATAAAACTGTTATGGGTCCTGTGAGAACTGGGCCCTACAACGAGTTAAATAGTATTTATAACACTGCGCGTTCAGCACGCTAAAGTTTGACCGAGCTGATAAATAAGATGAAAGGGCAGATTGAGAACCGGTGATTTTAAATTTAGCATACAGTCTAGATTTTTTATTTTTAAGTCGGCTCAACTCTTTAGTAAACCACGGCGGTTTATTCGAGCTTGGCGGATAATATAACGGAACACGTTCAGTAAAAATGAATTCATGGCACTGTAAAAAATATCCAAGGCAACAGCCATGTCAGTGCACATGTATAGATCAGACCAATTGAACTCGTTTATAAAATTATTCAGCCGTTCAAAGTCCGTTTTGCGAAAACATAGGACTTTATTGGCTGGACGGTCAGAAATATTCTGTACGTCACACCCAATATCAAGAGTCACATCGAAAGTTGGATGATAAGGATCTTCGGGCTGCAGAGGCGCCACCCTTGCTAAACTGACTCTCGCAGGATCAGAGACGAAGCAAAGATCGAGCAAGCGCTGTAAGGAATTTCGAACATGGTTGACTTGAGACAGCGAAATGTCAAACAAGCCAGCGATAAAGTCATCTTGTGTAGGTGTATGGAGAGTATTGGTTGAATTATTTGAGCACCAAATAGCACCAGGGATATTAAAATCTCCTAGAACTACCAACTGGTCTCTAACCAAAAGTCTTTTTCTTTTTCTTCGCCTCAAACTCCTTAACAACGATGTACTCTATCTTAATTTTTTCGGCTCTGGTTTTGCCTTGTATAAAGGCGAGAACATCTTCCGATGTTTGGTCAGGGAAGAACCGCGAGACAAAAATATGTCTCGTTGGTAGAACAGCTATAAGGGCTTTTGGCAAGGCAGATTTGTTATCTGCCGTGCCATTGTCGGCCGGTATTCCGGGCCTAACACCCTGGGCAGATATATTTGTGTGCACGGGACTTTGAGGGGTCAATATTTGTGACCCCCCAGGGGATAAAAGAGAAATCACAGGCGGTACGGGCACTCCCGCTGCATATTCGGATACCGAATCTTTTCTAGCGCTCGATCTCAGCACTCTTGGAATTAATGCTGAGGTCGAGGGCTGTGTCGAGGGAGGCTGCTGCTGAGAGCCCGTTGCAGGTAGTTGGGGTCCGTCTACATGCTGCCCACCAGTAGCAGTTTTTTTGCGCCTAGGAGACTCATTTAGTAGCGTAAGGCTATTAAATTGGGTGTCCAGCGGCAAGAACATATCAAGAGTTTTACGAAAACTCGTTAAAATGCCCTTAAAACCGCTTTTGGTTTGCCGCATGAAAGACATCATCTTTCTACATCGCGACAGGCCTCACAACAGAAACGCAGGCCGATGTTTTTTTTTACATCGTCCACCGTCCGAGCTGCTACTCCAATACACTTGGCGTGCATGACGTTGTCGCACAGCCAGCAGCCGATTGTAAGGTCACCTAAAGCAATTGCCTTTTTGCAGGTTTTGACGAAACAGACAATATTTCCGGACATTATATGGACTTACCACTGTACTTGTACTTTGAAAAAATAACAACAGAGCTATTAAGAAAGAAGTGAAGAGTCTCAGCGAGAGCGAGAGAGCGGGAGAGCGAATGAGATTAGATGAAGAAGTGAAGAAGTGCAGCGGCACAGCTAAAGCGAGAGAGTGAGAGAGCGTGGGAGATAGATAGATAAAACGTTTAGCTGTTGCGACGGCGCAAACAAAAGCTTGACGAAAAAGGCACAAAAAGGAATGCAAAATATGCAAAAGCTAACACTAGCAGCACAACTAAATTGGAAAATAAAGTCAATTATGTACACAAATTAGAATAGCTGCATGCACACGCGAAGTGAACGGGAAGTTATAAACACAAATTAGAAAATTCAAGTTAACTCCGGTGGTTAGAATCAATCTTTTTTACAAAACGATAGCGCAAGAAAAAAACACGTCCGTTCACTTGGAAAGATGAAATATGAAATATGATAGCTATATGACATATCCGATTTTCATAAAGTTGAATTCCAAATTCTGAAATATTAAAAAAACGCAATTTCTCTGAGTACATGAAAATATAAAAAACATCAAAGCTTTAATTTGTATTTTTTTTGTAATATTTTATTGATTGTTCCCATTAAAAGCCATATGATATGGTAGTCCGATTTTTATAAAATTAAAAACGAAATTGTAGAAATCGAAAACTAGGCTTTTCTTCAGATAGCTTTGTAGAAGAAACGGACAGACGAACAAAGCTAGATGGACTCGACTTCACGCTGCTAAAAAATATATACACTTTATAGGGTCAAAAATATTCCTTAACTGCGCTGCAAACTTTTAACTAAAATAAATAAAAATGCAAGGGAAAAACAACGACGAGTTTTTGGGCTATATTTGTAGTTTTTGCGCTTTCAAACTCAATTGTACCTTGTTATCTTTGTTTCGTAGTAAGGGCTTAAATTTTTACTGGCAATTTGAAGAAGCTTAGAATGAAGCAGAGCTAAAATTTCGATGCCGTATGAGTACGTCAATATAAGAACACAATAAAAAATGGTTAAACTGGGAGTTTCCTTATAAGCAAAACTCTGACTTAGTGATAATCTAAGAAATGTTCCACTTTATTTTTAGCATCATAAGTATTAATTCTTATGATCTTATAATTATTTAATTAATAGAATAACGTCTATACTTACATCCTTTAGAAAGTAATTTTCTTGTTCAAGTTTATTTATTCTTGTTTCCAGTGCGACTACATATTCCTTTCTTTTTTTTCGGGATAAGTAAGCAGACTCACGGTTTTTAATTAATCGCTGCTGTTTTTTGTACATCTTTTCGTCAGCTGTAAGACTTTTTAAGAAGTCAAACTTGGGGCTACCATTTGTGTGTTTTAACATTTGACTCACAGAGTGTTCTGCCTTTTCTTGTTCTTTCTTTTTTAAGTTTGATTTAGGCTCAATTTTTAACCCCTCTATTTTAGTTTTCTGTGTAACGTTTTTTGGAATATTAACATTTATCTTAGAAAAAGCCTTAGCTCCACTTGGATGTATTTTTTGCATTAGCGATCTATAGTCCCGCGAAGACAAAACTATAGTCTTTGGCTTTAGTGGTGCACCAATATTTTTCGTTTGATCTGCCGATAGATTTGTGATTTCTGTACTAATGTATGTTTTATTATTCATTAAATTAAAACTGGGAGCAATTGGATTATTTTGTGTATTGTTAGAACTTAAAGAATTAAGTTCCGCCGAGGATTGTGGTTTTAAATATTCTATATCTGATAAATTTGAAAAATTACTGCCCAATTTTATATTAAATTGTTCATCTTGGGGTTTAATAAATTGTTTAACTTTAACTGACTCAACAATGACTTGGTCAAGCGGCCTATTTAATGAGGCATCAGATATATCACTCTGAACCCCACTTGTTGAGCTCCCACTAGAACTGCTGCAGCTTCCTGTAGGAGACGGTGTATTACGATCATGTGTATTTAATGTTTTGCCGTCACATCCCAATTGACTGATGTTAACGTAATTTAAGTAGCTGTTTAGATCGTCAACATTTTCATTTTCATCGACAAGGGACACGTACTTTGAACTTTCTTGGATTTGTTTAAAATAGGGAAGTTCAGACATTGATGATATTGAGTCCAAACAATAAGTTAGGTCATTAATTTGATCAATATGATATATTCCCGAAATGTCGTGCTCATTTTGAACATCCCGTAATAATTCATTTAAGTCCGGTGATGTGTCGATATGTGCTTCAGATGAATTCAATATATCGTCAAAAACATTATTTTTATACTCATTTTGTGTGGTTGTTACTAAGGGCGACAGATCGTCTGAAAATATAAATAAAATATATAATATATTGAAGCTGTTCTGGTAAGTGTTCCATAGGTAAGTAAAATTATATATATTTTTATTATGTTTATATGGCAGGTTATTCAATTTTGGGAATGTTTCGGATTCCGTCAAATTGCAGTACCATGCGTTTAAGGATGAGTCACAGGACGTTGGCTTTTTAATTTCCCCGAATGGAGAATGCAAGTTCTTCAAGTCTCCGCAACACAATGTGAACTGCCCCACTCAACGACCTTTTCCTTTTTTCACACTTTTATTAAATTCACTCCGAGTATCTGGTTGTCCTTCTTACTCTGCTGGTTGCGTCCGACTAAGAGACCTCAATTATTACAGACTTCACATTCTGCTAATTTGTGTATTCGCACTGCGCCTGCGTCACACGCTACAAATTACATTATCTAGAAGTGTCTTGTTATTGTTTTGCCAAATTCAATTCGAAACGCATATACTTTGGTAAAACTCATACGTTATAGTAGGACTATTTTTAACATATAAATGAATGGATCATTGATATTTATTTTGATGAGTTCTAACAGCCAATATATATCTCAAAATTTAAAAATTTAAGGGCTATAAAGTTCAAGTAACTATAAAAATCATTAAAGCTAAAGAAATCGCAAAAGCTTAACAAATAAAATAATTTGAATTATGAATTTAACTTATATATTAATAGACATTTTGGTTTCGAATTGATTAAGATAAACAATAAAGAAAGTGTTTTAATTTGAAAAGGTTTACAAAACGTTTCATATTTGTTTTTGGTTGGGTTGCGAAAATTTAGGTGTTTATCGACATTTTGAGATCTATAATAAAAAATTAAAAAAAATATTTTTACTATGTTTATATGGCAGGTTATTCAATTTTGAGAATGTATGCTTGTCTTTAAGATTAAACCAGTTAATTTTAATATAATTTTTTTCATAGTAGCAAGTTTTGGCATTTTGGAAATTGGGAAAAATTTACTTTGAAAATATTAAATATGTCGAATTATGTTCGTCTTCAATTAAAGCGAAGTGGGTTTCGAAGTTTACTCCAGTTTACTGCAGTACGCAGTTAACTGATCTGTCGTCCTCATCGCTTCTATGTCAATGCCTTCGAAACACATTCGGCGACAGCGACACAACGCTGTCGACTCGCTTCCCAAAACTACGCTACACAAACTCAGTACAATTATAAGCTGATGCAATATTACCATTCTTGTGAAATTAGTATTTCTGACGAAATACCCGAAAATGTGTATTCGTACACAACTACGCAGTTTCAATGCGCTGACACGGCCATCCTGACCCTAACACGACCTCGTGTAGAAAATAACAGCATTAGAATTTCTCTTTCCTTCTTTTATTTATTAGACTGAACATTAAATAGTTTCATAATAATATCCAATTTTGCAATCTTAATTCACAACAAATTATCATATTAACAATTTCACAAAACAGTATTGGCTTTCATAACCATCATTTTCATCAATTCAATTCAATTTATTCATTCTTCTTCATTATTCACTCTTATTGCCACAAAATCAAATGTCCCACACGCCATGATCAAAACAAACAATATGTATTGCACTTGTGATTGCATTCTATTTTATGGTTTCAGCACTCTGCCGTTTCCGTTGCCCAGCAGTTCAACTTCGTCACCCTTCTTGGTGTACTTCACTTTTTTCTTCCATACTCTTAATCTTCTCAGTACTTGCATTTTCACTCTCTTCACCTTCTGCAACGGCTATATTACCTTCAACAATATTATCATAATCATCACACACATTTACCTCTTCGGGCACTTGCCCCTATGGTAATTTTCTTAAATCCTCATGTGCATATTTATAATTTCTTTTATTGTTTAAGGACTTTAAAAAGTATCTGTCACCTTCAAGAACTTTTACTGTTTCAATAGGCCCCTTGAATTTCGGACTTAGCTTGGTCTGGTGTCTTTCTTCGCTTTTAAGTAACACAAAATGTCCTACTTTGTGATTTGTTACTTTTGCCTTCTATCAAATCGTTCTTTATCATAAGCTGCATTGGCTAACACATTCTTTGCAGCTTGCGCTCTTACGTTTGGCAAATCAATAACATTTTCTATGTCACTAGGTGGAAGTAATCCTAATGGGCGTGCTACCTTTCCCAGTAACATTTCTAAAGGACTTGCTTTCGTAGTGCGGTTTGTTGTACAATTGATTGCCAATTGCACCTCTCCTAACACATCCTGCCAAGACTGTGTTCCAGTTTAAACCGCCGTTAACATATTCATTAACGTGCTTATGGTTCACTCCACCTGACCATTAGCTCGACTTGCACCAGTGGCTATCAAATGCAAGTTTATTTTTTGATCTGAACAAAATTGACTGAACTTTGCGCCTGTAAAAAAACCTTCCCTGGTCAGCTAATATTCGGTTTGGTACTCCAAACAATGAAGCAGTAGTTTGGACGGCTTTTATGCAACTCTCACTGTCAAATTTAAGACTATGACTTAGATAGACATATTTGGTAAACGCGTCTACCTGAACAATAACACACTCCTTCTGGTCACTCTTGCCACTTAATTTTTCTGTTATATCGATGTGAATAGTGTGCCAAGGAATAGTGGCTTTTGGTATTGGGTGCAACACAGTCTGTATTTTTCCTAAAGTGAATTTTGATATTTTGCAAGTGATGCAGTTGTCGACAAATTTTTTTTACGTATTTTGACATATTGTCAAACCAGTAGAAATCGTAAGTTTAATGTAATGTCTTCTCAAAACCTAAATGCATTATTGACTCATGAACTTGATTTATGACAGACCATCTGAAACCTCGTGGCACCACTGGTGAACAACGCATTTGCCCATTTTTCTGTATTTTTCGATGAAGAACTTCTGCCCTTAGTTCATAGGTTTTCGCAATATCTCCAGGCAGAGAAGTTTTTAAAATGTTTAACTATTTCGATTATGTCCGAATCTCGACGTTGTTCAGCAATAACCCAGTGGCTTGAAATTTCAGCTAAATTTACTCTTTTCTCTTCGACCGTTTTTGCGGTTAAAGTAGGCTTTGGTGAAAGAGGATTTCTCGACAAAAAGTCAACATGTGCCATTCTATTCCCTTTTCTATACTGAAAATCAAATGTGAATGACTGCAAATAAGCCCACCAACGCTGTGCTCTGGGAGTTAAATCGTTTATTTCTCGACGCCTTTAGCGAGTTGCAGTCAGTATAAACGACGAAGTTCCTGCCCAACAAATAATGTCGAAAATATTTAATGGAGTTCACAACCGCTAAGGTTCCCAACTCGTTCGAGTGATATCTTGATTCTGCCGGTGAAGTTGTTTTCAACCGGGATATCAGCCCAAACAACGATGGAAGGCGTGACTGCTACCACCGGCGGGCACGGAGGGGAGAAATCCTCTCTCCATGTCGCCAGCAGTCACACCTCTGATTTGACGGGAGCAGGTCAAGTCAGTTGTAACGCTACTGCCAAAATAACTACACACAGCAGGCTAAGCAGCACGGGTGCCGTTGTGTATACAGACTCGGACCTGGAGAGCGTGCAGCTTTCGAAAGAGGAGGAAGAAAGCCTTCTTCACTCGCCAGAACCAGGCACCAGCTCCCCGCGTTCAAGCGAGTGGAATAATGCTAAGGCGCAGTACAAGCTGCCCTTCGAATCCAGAGCCGGCTCCTGACAAAAGCTGCCCTATCCGAAGAGGAGAAGGTAAAGCTTAACTGAGCCGACCAAAGGATCGAGGTGAGCAGCACTCTGCTAAGCTTCCCAACATGGCATCAACGACCGGTTTCGCCAACAATGTGGAGGAGATGCTTGCCACCAAGCGGGAACGCTCTGCCGAGAGTCCCATAAAAGACACTCCGGCGAGCAAGCGGCAACGCGTGCCCAAGGAAGCAGGCCCCCCCTTGAGGGCGAAAACCCAAAGAGAAAGGAAAATCGCGAAGGCCAGTGAGGTGAGCAAACGACATTTGATCGTGGCACTTATTGACAGGAGCGATGAGAAAGGCAAGATGACCGAGGCGCGGTACAAGACGGTGCATGCGCGGCTTGTTAAGTCATTAGTTACATGGAGGAAGACCCTGTAGCGGACATGCCCACATTCGAAGGTGCCGGTGGCTAAATGGAGTCAAAATCCTAAAGTGTATGGATGACCCTACGAGAAAGTGGCTGACGCAAACGGTCGGCCGGATCGAAGCGTTGTGGGACGGGGCCAAGGTGGAGGTGGTGGACAGGGAACTAATCTCATCTATCCCAAAAGCGAAGTTACTTCCCCAGCGCTATCCAAGGGGACCGAGCGCTGAAGCTGCTGCAGCGTCAGAATCCCAATCTCCATAAGAGCAAGGTAGCGTCGGCGGAGCTCCTAAATGCCATGGAGCAAGGGTCCGCCGATGTAGCTCTAGTCCAAGAGCCATGAATTGCCTCAAGCAATACCATTGCAGGACTAAAGTCCTTAAATCCTAAAATCCTTTAGTCCTACACACCATTGTTAAGCAGATACAGAACCGCCGTAACGGTACGGAAGGGTCTTCAAGCTAACCTTATGTCTCATTACAGCTCGGACGACATGACTGTTGTGTTACTAGAAAGCAAGAAGAAGCGCCTAATGGTAGCTTCGTGCTACATGGCACACGATAGACCAGCTCCACGGGAAGAACTCAGGAGTCTGGAAGAACATGGCTCAAAAGACCAGCAACTGATCGTAGGTGCAGACGCCAATGCGCACCACAGCGTATGGGGAAGCCCCGACATAAACGACAGAATTGAGTCACTATTAGACTTTTTTCTCTCTAGCAATTTAGATATAGCAAACGTGGGGGAGGAACACACCTTTGTAGACCCCACCTCGTCCAACGTGCTCGATATAACACTCGTAGCAGGACAAAGTACAATGGTATCAGACTGGAAGGTCCTGGAGAGACCAACCTTTTAGGATCACAGGTACATACAGTTCCAATGCGGATTCGAGCACTCTCCAAAACCAACAGTCTTTAGAAACACGGAAC